TGCACAGTGCTACTACGTTGCAAGAGGTGCACACTATTTTCGAACGTGCCTCTTTATTCATTTTTACGCACCATGCACCATGCCATGCGCGTTTTTCCTTCAATTGGGAAATGGTTTCCAAAATTGAAAAGTCTCGCTGTTGTTGTTGATTATGATGATGATATAGTTTTGGAGGAAGAGCGCATTTGCTTATTGACTTCCTTGCTCGCATTTCCAATTGTTCTTTCTTTCCACTTCTGTACTTTCATTCGTTCATTGGGCAATGTAAATGAATAAGCTTTTGGGAAAGATCTTGAAGTAAGAATACACTTCGGTGGCTTGGTTTCCAATAGAGAAATTTGTTTGGTCCTTGATGTAACTAACTAGTGGCATTCGTGGTGCCAAGTTAGTTGGATAGTTAGTTCATGAAAATGACGGTGCATTCTAGTTTAGAAACAAACAAATCATTATGATCGGGTGAAACTACTTCATTGCCAGTCTCCTCTACAGTGTTTTCAGTTTCAGAAGGCTCAGTAATATAAGCGAGCTGTCTCTACTTGTTTTCAGGGTAAATTCTCTTTTGACACATTTCGACCCTTTATCAGAGAAAAAAGCGTTCGAATAAGCCTTCGAATTGTTCAGAAATAGTGGTGGTTGAAAACCTAATAAATTGAATTTATTGAAACAAAAATCACAGTTAATAAACTACCACTCGAAAATATTTAATCGCTGTCCGGAGCAAGTTGTCTCTTGCTTGATTAGATCTGGAACGATTGACGTGAGAAATTTATGGAGTCAGAACGATGAGATGGCCTTAAAATCGGGTTGGAGACGAAAGTAGGCGTTATTTTCTGTCCTAGATATTTTTCAGTAACTGGAACATATGTTGTCCCAGCCGTAATATCGAAAATTTACCAGACTGGGACAGCACATGTCCCGTCCGGTGCGAAACGGTTATGTTACCCGGACCATAAATTGCTTATATTAATTATTTTTATCCACTGTAGAAAGAATGAAATTTTTTTTGTTGCTGACATGTACAGAATAAAATTGTGTATAATAATCAATCATCAAATAAATAAATGACTTTGATTGCATCCAACCATATTACAATCATATATAAACTTGGTATTAGGTTAATATTTGCTTTTCCTCCTTACATTATTAGCAGTTAAAAAAATTTTTGGTCACACTTCAATGTCCTGGAATTCATAAGCCAGGAAAATGACAGCTAGGATAATGACAATTTTGCCATTTTATAGCATATAACTTTAATTTAATATTTTGGCCTAAGACGTTTACATTCTGCAGAAAACAACAGGATTTCTTAAAATAATTCAGATAAATCTAAGTAGTTTATGTTATTAATGATTTCAAGATGCCAGGAAAATGACAACACAAAAACCTACTCATCTTGAAAAATTTTTTGAAATAGATTTTGAACCAAAAAATTGGTTCTTTATTCATGCAACAAGACATGTTCATATAGGAGGGTATCTAATCAATCTATTAACATAAGATATTGATTGCTGGCTCTATCTATTTTGGTTATAAACCACTAAATAAAAGTAGCCAGGAAAATGACAGATTTTCTGGGGACAAAAAAATTATTGACAGAAAAAATTATTCTAAACGAAGTTTTTGTAGTATCCCTCTGCGCACATTCTAGAAATGCTTTCACCTGTTGAGATAAAAAAAATAGATATTGAAAAATTTATGGGAAGTTTCGAAGCTAGTTACTAAATTGTTTGGTACATGCCAGGAAAATGACATTTTGAAGTTCAATTAAATTTTTTAACTATATAAAACTGTCAATGGTAGTGCAAAGTCATTTTAAAATGCTAACTGCAATGCAATTTATTAATTTCTTTTAAAACAAAGTTCTTTTAGTATTATAGTATTAGATCTTGGAGCAAGGGACAGATGAAGATAAATGAAGATAAAACAAAAGAAAATTACACACATATGAAAAAAGGGGGAAAAACAAAAATAATATTAAAAAAAGTAACAAGAAACCTGGGGGGGGGGAATAAATAAAAAAAAAATCCGAAAAAAAAGGATAAATTTTTTTTTTAAAATTCGAAAAATAAAAGATTTCTTTTATTTTCCGGATTTTTCTAAAAAAAATTATTTTTTATTATTTTTTTTTATTTATTCTCCCCCCCCCTTCCCCAGTTTGTTACTTTTTTTTATAATTATTTTTCTTTTTCTCCCTTTTTTCATGTCTGCAATTTTCCTTTGTCTTATCTTCATTTTGAACTTATCGTATGAGTTCTGTTTACTTGCNATATATATAGTGTAGTTTGTAGTGTAGAGTATTACTCTTTTAAAGGTAGTGTGAGGAATAGTGCGATGCAAAAACAACAATAGTTTATAGCGGTTTCTGGCAACTACTTTTAATGTTAGTTTAGAAAAGAAGCAACGGTTCTAGCGCAACTAATTTTTCGAATTCGATGCGTGTAAATCTGCACGGTTTCGTCAGTTGGTTTCAGTGAATGGCTATGCTGTTGAGCTTTAACAGAAATTAGATACTTAAAATCATAACAGGTAACTCATATATTTAAACTTGCCATTAAGAAAAATATATTATTTATCACTTTGCTCACACTTTTACATGCGAATGGACACTCGTGAAACATTTATTTCAAAGGGCAGGACCGTATTTAATGAACTTATTTTCTTAAAAAAAAAAGTACACTAAAGAATTGAAAAAAATTGCAAGTTAATTTCGCATTTTCAGAATTAAATGTCGAAAAAGGCTTACAAAGTTGAAGGTTGAATGAGAAATATCAAGAAAAATATGTTTTGGAATAGCAAACTGGCTCATGTAAATTCATGAATAAATATTTATAATGATTCCCCTTTTTTTAATGTAAGCCAATTTCTTATTCAAAATAATTTTGAATGGCGTAAATTATGTTCTTCAGCAAAGTTCGCCTCCCTCAAGTAGTGAAGTAGTAACTAAATTTCAAAGTAATTTGTAATCACTACACCTAAAAAAAGTATTTATGTAAACTAAATTTGTAACAAATTAGCTGTAGTAAACTACGAAAATAATGTGTTTTTTCGACCACTATATATGTTACTGTGAATGACCAAAATTCATGATTATTGACTTCCACTAGTGAATGTTGACAATCACTTAGTCACTTTGGTTAATATCCGAAATATATACTAGGTTTGTTATGTGTAAGTTAGTTAAGTGCTACTGCCCGGTATGCCCTACATAAATGTTTTTTAAGGTCAAGTGCCACTGCCCAGTATGCATTTAACCGGTGCTCCGAACTCAGATATTTCTTCTAATCTATCTCCTTATCTATATAGGCCCTTCTAGGACCAATACAGAAAAATATATATATTCCAATATTGGTCCATCGGTGTATTTTCTTATAGGATCCATATCCAGCCAATTTTGAACCCAGCTTGGGCCGACGTAAAATTGTTTCTAGGTAAATTTCATAAATGTCACAAACTACTAAAAAATCATACTAATTTTTTCTAAGTTTCAAACGTTTTTTTTTTCAGGATCTACAATTCTGATTTAAAGCATAACTTTTCTCTTAGATTTTACTATGGTCAGTTACGATATTTTCACTCAGATTTTGCTTTGTTGCAATAGACTGCTTGTCTAATAATTTTAATCAAAGCTTGATATACCTTAATAATTAAAGCTGATACAACGGTATACAAAATTATTTTAAACGCAAACTCTGATCTTAATTATTTTTGTGGAAAAGGATATACAGGAGTTCGGCATATTGTGCCTATTACCCAGCTCTATTGGAGAAACTCACATGCGAAACTGTGAAAAGGTATGTAAAATCTAAATTTAATTCATAATATTTATATTTAAATAGATAATTTGCTTAAAAAACTTAATTACTTATTATATCAAGAATTAATTCAATAATCTTCGGTAGGAAACCATCATATATGACTAAGCGAAAATATATAAAATATAAACTCTATTCAAAATCCATCTTTTCTTTAAGATATCAATTATAAATATCTTAAATTAAATTTATTAAGCAATCTCACCAAGAGAGATGTTATTTTAATTACTGTAAACGTTAATATTTACCAGCAGTATATCCAATGATTTGTGGAAAAACCAGCAAAAAATAAGCATCATTTTTTTCAAAAATATGACTGGTTAAAAACGCGGAAAAGTTGCTTTGAAAAATAATTTTAATGCATAATAATAAAACTTGTGGAAAACAAACAATTTGAAATTATTTATTCTTATGCCTACTGTTTTTTCTAACCGTCTTCATTTCTTTATCTAATAAACGAAGTGATAGCGCATAACGAAAAAGAAAACCCTAAGTGATAAAATGTTTCAGTTTCAATTTAGCACAGTTTATATCTAGAATTATAAAATAATTAAATTTATTCCTAGATTTATTAGAGTCAGGAAAATTATATATTACTAGTTGCTTTAAATGAGTTTGCGAGAAATTTACATGCGTTGTACTACACATATTAGTTTCTATCTGTTGAACTAAGCTCTATACTTAAAATAAATATTTTAGGGGCCGTTCAAAAAGTACGTACACAAAAATGGAGAAATTTTAACCCCCTCCCCCCTTCGCACATTAGGTCTTACTCCCCCCCCCCTTAGAGTATGTACATTTTATTAGTCTACCCCCCTTTTTCATAAAAATTTAAATAATTATGTTTTAAATAAAATTAAATATTTATTTAAAATATTCATAAGTTTTTGAGAACTGATTTATTCATTCTAACAAGTGGTAGCCGTGTGAAAAAAAATACAAGAACAAACATATGTATAATACATGTGTAGGAAAAAGTCAAATTGAAATTTGGTGTATGCTTATAATGTACGTACTTTGTATAATACCTTCCTCCTCCCCATCGTACAAAACCGTACAAAATAGCAAATCCCCTCCCCCACCTTCGGGATGTACGTACTTTTTGAGCGGCCCCTTATGCATAAATAGATATTCCACAAATTATCTTAATTTCATATTAGAAAAATTTAAAATGAATATTTCACAGCATTGGATGACATGAAAATATTTTATTGAAGTAATACAAGAAATTTAAAATTTTTCTTCGTAGTTTTCTCATCAGTTTCCAAACTATCTCTAAACTTGCTATAATATCTTAATTTACTTTGATCCAACTAGCCATGTAAGCATTTCAGCATACCAATGAATTCCTTGAAATTCTTGCGATTTTAACATGTTTTCCTTGTTGGCATCAATACTTTCAAATTCAAAATGCTTTGTATTTTCCACTATACTAATTGGCTGGCTCCAAAGCCAATCAAAACTTTTAATTGCACTCTTAAAATAATAGTGTACTCTCATTGGCCAAAATACGATGTGACTCTTCGTATGACTTTCAGCCTCGGCGTAACAGGATGCTAAAATGTTATTGACGACAATGGTACCATCCAATGTTAAAGGTGCGTAAACTCCAACCAAAACCAAAGATTTCAGACTTGTGACAACAGAGAGAGTTGCCATTTTTCCAACTATTTTCGTGTAAACGCGATCTCCAATCTTGATTTTGTTGGCATGAACTGCTTCAAAGTCTTTGTCATCAGTGCGCCGAAAAATAAGATGTTTGTCACTTATTAGTACAGTTGCATCAGAGTCTGTGGTAAGTTGAATAAAAGAAGACTCCATGTGTTTGTCTTTGTGCAGAAATGCAATGACTGGGCTGTATGTAAATGATCCGTCAGGCAGAAACCCTGAAGCAACCTCTTCACCCAGCTGTAAGTCTTTCATTTCTTTTTCACCACTTCTTGTAAGGACAATGCTACTCCCATGAAAGCAAGCTAGAAATAAAAGAGAATTGTTTATTACTATTGGTAATTGGATAGCACTGTAAAAATGCATAATCAAATTCCACGAAACTTTTTTTTGACGAAACTCTTTCCTGGTTTTTGCTCGGAGGAAAAAATCTCGTCAAAGTAACGAAATAATTGTCGTCACTTCTTCAATGAAACAAATTTTGTCAAAATTAAAGAAATATTTCGTCTTTTTATAAAAAGAAAAATTTTTCTACGCCTGACACATTTACTTTTCAAATTATCACTTTATCGTGGGCATTATATAGGTGGCTCGATGTCACCCAAACGCCACAAGAAGAACTGATATCAGACAGATAACTTACACCCATGCCCGGAGCTCGATTCTTCTTGCTATAAGGCCAACTCCTGGACCACCATGCAGCCCTAATTACTTTGTTTCGTCACTTTTAGTCTCCTAGTTTCTTCATTCTTGTTAAAGATCTCCCACAATGTACTACAATGAGGTTTTCAGTTGAAGAAACATTTTCGTCATAAATTTGAGACTTTGCGCTTCGTCACAAATCTCATGATTTCATGGAGAAATTATTTTAAAAATTAGTGAACTAAATGTCAAGAATTTCTGAGTCGTCAAATGTAAGAATTACATTTCTGAGACAGGACCGAGTGGATAAAGCGGATATGTGGCATTTTCCGAGTAGTTATAATCAAGGTAAAAAGGAAATCAGTAGAAACCGAACTGTTTTAAAATAGATATAATAAAAATAGGGGCTCATAACTCTTAACCTTATTATATTTGCCTAATTTGAAAAAGATATGATGAAATCCCTGATTATTAAATAATTCTTAAATGTCTTCTGACGCACGATGGCTGAATGGTAGTTCTTTGCGCTCCCATACCACAGGTCCTGGATTCGATCTTCGGACCGGGCTAGGCTGACTCAGCCGTTCATCCCTTCAGTGGGTCAATAAATGAGTACCAAGCATGCTTGGGAACCGGGGGTTCCGCGCTCGGCTGACCACCTGACCGGAATATCCGCTTATACACCCCAGAGCCCAAGAGCAAGAAAACTGAGATGAGCACAGTAGCCTTTGGCCCTCTATGGACTATCACGCCACTGAGCGTAGTTTAGTTTAAACGTCCCCTTACCTGCTGCAATCTTCAATTTATGAAGGATATAAAAATACGTTAAAAGTTAAAAGCAGTTTTATTTCACATGATTTGAAGGGTTGCAATTATCGGTAATATAAATTATCTGGATAGCTAAGTGGCATTTTTAACGCAATCGAAATTTCTTTGAACATATTTTATCTTAATAAAATTTTACTACAGAACAACGATTTCTTCCGCAGAATCATTAAATTTCGGTTTACTCGTTAGAAAAGGTGATAACTGATAATCTTTTAATGTTTTTAAAGTGGAAAGAGCGTCGAAGTGGATTCGGCAAGGAATAGTCGACGAGTGGTTTTTAATAAAAAAACCTATATTTCTACAGAAAGTTAAAAAAAAGAATGGTACAAAATCATAGATTAATTCCTACAAAACCGTAATCGCATATACGCCATAGCTCGATTCATCATCTATGGCTGACATCACCACGCATGAAATGAGCCGTTCTGGCTCTAGCGGTCTCACACGGACGTGGTCTCAAGTAGACATCTCTTAACAGTACGTATCAATTCGGAGAGTGGGGATCTTCGAAAGCGATTAAAAAAAGTATTAGGAGTTTATAGACTCTACCAATTTAAAGCTTGCGAACAAGAAACGAGGACAAGACATAATAACTTTATTTCCTATTATGTACGATAAATTTTGAAGATAATTTATGAAAGATGTCTAAATAGCACTGAGATTCTGCACAATCTCATTTGCAATGTAGTTGCAACTCTTCAATGGTGTCTTCATTGTAATCTTTCGAAAATGACTTCTAACTTTTTGAAAATCAAATCAACAATTAATTAGCGTAACAACTTATAAGTGAGAGAGAGAGAGTTTTTTGAAAAAAATAAATTTTTTAGGTTTAAATATTTGAAGAGTACTAATGTCTGGTTGAAAATTAACTGATAATCTCTAAACACAATACAATTAGTCTGCTATCTTGTGCTTAGATTGTGAAATAAACATGATTTCGAGCATAAGAAATAGTGGTATAATCTCTTATTTTTCAATACTCTATCCCGCAAATATCACGGGCACGAGAAACAGAGGGCGAGACTTCACCCAGTCATTTTGATAGAAGCAAGAAGAAAAGAGTTAAAACAGTTATTTAATTTAATAACTCCACGTTTACAAGCATGCGGAATTTAAAATTAGGAAAAGGCGAAAGTGAAACTTTTCGTCATTATGAAGACGGCGAGAAAGAGGGGGTTGAATTGCACCCGACTAAAACTAATTGAAAACGACAAAAATACTTTAAAAAAAAACACTATTTTATTAACAGCGTCTCGTTAATGATTTTTGTATGTTTGAAGGAAGCCTGCATAACTCTGGTTGGAAGTCAAGCACCTTAAAGGTCCAGCGATCCATGCTCGTTTGAAAAAATGTGAGACAGGAACAGACATTACTATGCATCAAATTGGAAGAGTCCCGACAAATGTGCAAAAATCCTAGCACATTACAAATATGATGAATGCAAGTTGTCTCAAGAAGAATAAGAACTGTTTACATAGTTATTGAGCAAATTGAATTCGATACAATATTTTTAACATAGGCATGATGTTGTGCAACAAAATACTTATTTGATTGATCTATATAGGAATAACGAGTTTTCACAAACACGGAAATTTTTATTTTACAGCCCTTATTTCAAAATTTCATGTTAAAATTATAAATTCATGAAATTAAGATTTGCTGCTTATGAATAATTTTTTTATGAATAATTTATTGATAAAAAATCCTGAAACCATATGTATAATAGAATATGCAATTGGTTTGTATTTAAGAAATGGGGTAGAGAAAAAAATAGAGAAACGTAAGACAGAACGTATCGAAAGAAAAAAGTGAAAGAAAGAACCTTTTTAATGATTAAATGATGAAATTTGCTTAGTAACATGCATTTGAAATACATGTGTGTTTTATGCTCACATTTTAATTTATATATTTATTTGTACAAAATAAATACAGGTTTAACGTTTTTTGCGTTTGTTTTATTGTGCATGCACTTCCATATTTCTCACGATAATACCAGTGAAAAGAACAAAACTAAATGTTTGATTTTAGTGTTGTTTTAGAAGCAAAAGTAAGTTAACTTATGTAGGTGTTATTATACAATATAAAACAAAATAATTAAATTTCCAATTTTGATATTTACATACCTGCCAACTTTAAATGCTTTCGAGGAAGATTTTCCACAGCGGTAGCAAAATGGAATTTAAATTACAATTTTAGGCAGAAACATGCACAGTATTTTGAAAATGTTTATACGGTTCTACCAAAGCTGTATTGCATATTAATGTATAAGATTAATTTTTTCAAAAAGGTCAAAAAAATTATAAGTTAAGTTTATAAAAGCAAGGAATATATAGAAGGCAGACATTTTACTACCACTTTAAATATAAAAATAAAATTTTACGGCAAATGCGTAAAAGTTTGGTAGGTTTATTCTAAAAATTGGAAATGCTCCATAGTGAAGGAATTAAGACTTTTTGTAGCTCTCAACAATATTTAACACGTTGAATGCTAATTTTTCATGACTCGCCCATCTGGTCAAACGATAAATAACTACAAACTAAATTTGTGAATATTAGACAGATTTTGCTAGTTTCTTATAAGGTTCAGCATAACACATCTGAAAAAAGTGGTGAATGACATAAGCCGACGAATGTTTTAGATATAGTGGTGAATAAAAATCTACTAAATTGAATTTATTAAATCAAAAATCAAAATTTATAAACTACCACTTGAAAATATTCATTGGTGGTCCGGAGCAAGTTGGCATCTCTGTGTTTATAAATAAAACTATTTTTGTGTGTTCTATACTGCATTAATTTCTTCAAACCATTTTAGTAATAATAATAATATAAAAAAATTAAAAATTTACTCGAATTATGTGTTTCTAATAATCTTGGCTTCGCCGGTCATCGGTGACCCTCATGGCATTTAATGTGTTAAAAAGGTAGTTAAATGAAAATAAAATAAAAAAAATAATAAAGAAAAGAATTAAGTAGACAAAATTATTAAAACCTTTCTGGCAGTAACAAATACCACGGCATACTTAACTGGTCTTCTGTAGAAGTTTTGGGTAATTTAAATACCGTGGTGGTCAAAATAATTTTAAATTAAGCGCTGAAGCAAAATCATTGCTAGAACCTTAAATTATAATAGAATAAACATTTACAGCGGAAATCCAGATAATATTGCGAACCTACTAATGAGATACGTAAGAGCGGGCCGTGGTAGCTCAGAGGACAGAGCATTCACCGCCCAATGATGTGAACAGGGTTCGAATCCCAGTGATTGCTGGTCGATACGAATTCCGTACCCAGCTCGCACCGATCACAGTGCTGACGTAAATTATCCTCATCGGTAGACGGATCATAGGTTAGCGATCCTTTGCCATCAGGTTAATCGTTGGAAGTTTTCGAGGTTTTCCTGTCCATGTAACACAAATGCTTGCTAGTTCAATCAAATAGATATCTACAAAGACAAATTTTACCTAGTACTTGATTCGGGAGTTCCCTTGTTTTTTGGATTGGGCTCAAAATTACAAGGCAACGGAGTTGAACATTAGTAGTCGTAGACCCTAAATTGGG